TTATTTATTTATTTATTCAATTTTTACCCCGCCCCTCTAGACAACGTCTACTCAGGGCAGCTTATAAAAATTAAAACACATTAAACAATGTAAAAAGAAAAATAACTAGCATAGTGCAATTATTATAATTAATACTATCCAAGATGGCAAAATTAAGAACCAGAAAAAAGGAAAGAAAAGAACTTAGGTGACTGGGGGAAGGCCTGTCTGAATAACCAAGTTTTTAACTGGCTTTTAAAAACACCCAGCGAGGGTGCCAGCCGAATTTCAGTGGGAAGTGTGTTCCACAGCCGAGGGGCAACTGCTGAGAAGGCCCAGTTTCTTGTTTTCTCCTTCCGGGCCTCCCTCGGCGTCAGTCCCCTCAGCCGTCCCTGCTGGCTATGTCAGGTGACTCGGGTAGATCTGGGTGGGAGGAGGCGATCTGCCAAATATTGAGGTCCCAAACCGTTTAGGGATTAATTTGTAATCATTAATACTTTGAAGTCAATGCGGAAACGAATAGGTAACCAGTGCAGTGCAGCCAAAGTGGGGGAGATGTGCTGATATTTTCTCACCCCACTAATAAGCCCGGCTGCTGCATTCTAGACCATCTGGAGTTTCCGCATGAGCCTCAAAGGCAGCCCCACGTAGAGTGCGTTACAATGGTCTAATCTCAAGATTACGAGCGCATGGACTAGAGTAGTGAGGGCCCCCCGATCAAGATATGGCCGCGGCTGGGCAATCCGCCATAGACGAAAATAGGCCGCACTGTGATGGGGGGGGAGTGGCAGCAAGGGGAAAGGAAGGACCTGACTGGACCCACAGTTTGCCAGCAGGGATAGTGGGAAAGGATCTAACCTTCTCTCAAATCAGTGGCTCAAAATAGCAACCTATGGCAATAATGGTTTGCATTTATACCCAATTTTGGAGGCTGGAGAGCACCCGCAAGGTAACCTGTTTTTTTTTCTTTCTTTCTTTTCTTACAAGCGGGTTCCATGCCTTTTCTGGGACTTAAGTCTCCCTCCTGAACCAGCTTTCTGCCTGCCAAGCAGTTGTGACAGGGCCCCGGCAAAGAAGAGTTAATTCTTCTCCAAATAATATTTCACACCCCAAGGGAAAGGAAAAGGCCAAGGATGGAGTTTCTGGCTTACGTCTCTGCGGAGATGTAAATCATGCACTTGCAGAAAGGGAAAACAGTCAAGGGAGAAGCCCGGGTTGATGTCTGACAAATTTGTGTAGTTCCCACTCACTCTGTCTTGGCCTGGTTTTATACTGTACACACACACACACACTTCCTGGCCCTCCCAGGATGGACACGAGAGTCAAAGACCCTTTGTCTCTGGAGCTCTCCATGTGTCCATCCGTCCATCCATCCATCTTAAAAGCTCAGGAATGTCCAGAACATAAACACCACTGGAGAAGAGGCCCTTTTAGAGGGACCGGAACAGCACAGCATTCAATGATGCTACCTAGCATTGATGCACAGAAGTGTTATTTGGGAGTTCCAATTCCCATAATAATAATAATTGTGCGTGGTCAAGTGAATTCCCACTTACATGGACCCTTTCCAGGGTTTTCTAGATAGGTAGCACTCAGAAGTGGTTTACCTGTCCCTTCTTCTTGGGCAGCTTGCCCAAGGCTATACAGGCTGGTTCTTCTCCTGGGAGACACAATGGGGGAATCAAACTCCCGGTCCTAACTTCCTAACTCACTGGGCTAGCTACCCAGCTTATGGCCAATGGCAAAATCAAGCTGTGTCTTTTTGGCAGAGGTTGAGAAAGGTACTACTGCTCTCAGAACCCACCCACCCACAGCAAATATGAATCACCAGCCGGGGGGAGGTTCTGGGATACGTCATCCCCCCCCCCAAAGGAACTTTTCAATCATCCCCCCCACCTTAAAGGAACTTTTCAAAGCACCTGCCAAGACACCACCATCTCTGGAAACTGGAACACGAGAACGGCAGCCCTTTGAGGAAAGGGAGTGGTTGCAACTGGGGAGACCCCAACTTTGTGGGGAGCAGGATGTACAGTGGAAGAAGGGGCACACTGAAACTGCTTTTTGTGGACTGAGATAATATGAGGCAAGCAATGGCTGAGCACCTGGGGTTTCTGTCTGATGTGAAATACAGGTGGTCTCAGCTTTCGAGAATGCAGGTAGAAAAAGCAAAGCTTCGAGAAGCTACGCTTTTGAAACACACCGATGAGACTCTCCCTGCTGGTCTGCCCATAATGACTAGGGGATTCCAACAGCTGTTACGCACAAAATAATAACTTCTCCAAATGAGAGAGAGAGAGAGAGAGAGAGAGAGCAGGCAAAAAATGGTCTTGTCCATGAAAGCTCACATTAAAATAGAGCAGTTACTCTTTCAGGTGCCACAACATTTCTGTCTTCTTTCTTTATTTTTTTTCAGTTTTCTCTAGGTTTTGTCTGATAAGCGAGCACAGACTAACACGGCTACCTCTTCTAAAACTACAAATATAGAAAGATGTAAAAGGAGATTAGTCAGGTAGACAAGAAAGAACAGGAAAGGAAGAGTTACATAAGATCAGATGTTGGGAATACTTTTTTTTTAAAACTACAGTTCCCAGAATCCCCAGCCTGCACAAACATTTCCAACCTCTAATTAAGACGTTAATGGGCAGAATTCAAGCTTTTCTAGAACCCCAGGCTCCACTGGCTTGGAAGCCAGGTGCAACTACTATAATTAGCTTTAATTTTTATCCAGCTTCCCTTTCAATTAGCTCACGGTGGCACAGCCGATTCTCTTTTCCCAGTCTCACGTTATCCTCACAACAACCCTGTAAGGTAGGTGGGGCTGAGACAGAGAGGGACTGGCCTAAGGACACCCAGCTGGGACTTGAACCCTCGTCTCCAGGTCCTAGTATTAATACTCTCTAGTCATTTTGCCTCACTAGCAAAAGACTTGCCTTTAAAATTAATAAATTTTGAGCCCAAGGATTTGTTTTTAAATGCCATAACTGAACACAGCTCATCCTCCTTCCACCCAAGTAAACATTTCATCTCTCTCTCTTACACATACATATGGGGGGAGAGAGACTCTTCCCTTTCAGCAGTATAAGGGAGGTGGTGTCACTTTGTCTTTCCATTTTTTTTTTGCCATACCACTGAATATCGAAAACCTTTGTTCATCTGCTGTGAATCACAGAGACGTCTACAAAGAGATCAAAGATCTACCTTTGATCCACCCTTGGTTTAAAATGCAAATTGAAAAGATCTACTTCCTGTCCACCTTTGGATTATTACGCCAATTAAAAAGAGGGAAGTTCTGCTAACAAATATTCTTTTAAAAAAAAAAAAACACTCTTGTATCGCTTGGAAGTCTTAACTGCTGTTGTTGTGGCTCCAGTCCCTGCCATAATAAACCAGGTGTATTCTTTTACCTCTCTTTTCCATGTAAGATGGACAAGCCTCCTTTTTTTTGTCAAGGCTTTTTTTTAAAAAGGGAGGAGGCCATTCTATATAAAATTACTGAAATCATTCCAAAAGACCATAGTAGGCTACAAGATACTTTTATTTAGCATCACATCCAGACTCCCCCAATTTCCTACTTCCCCTGCTCAGCCTGCTTGCCGGCAAGACGCCGCCCGAAGAACTCTGTGGCTCCAGAAAGCTGACGCATTTGTGGTGAAGGAAAACTCGTACACAAGCAGAAAGCAAGAGAGAGGGGGGGGAGAAGAAGCCAAGAGTGAGGGCGAGAAAAAGCTCTTAGGGAGCACGGGCTGGAGGCTCACCTTTCTCTCGGCTCCTGCTTCCCAATGGTCGCTTCTCAGCGGCGGTCGGGGCCCCTTTCTCCCCGGNAGGGAGCACAGGCTGGCGGCTCACCTTTCTCTCGCTCCTGCTTCCCAATGGTAGCACCTCAGTCGCTGTCGGGGCCCCTTTCTCCCCGGGGTTTGGGTTCCTTTCTCCCCGCCAGGAGCGGCCAAGCCTCTCGGACCGACCGGTTGCTTCTTCGCCTCTGTGTCTTTTCTCTCCCAGCGCCCGAGTCGGCTGCTGGCTGGTCGGGCGGTCGGTCCCTCCGTCCGTCCCTCGCTCGCCCGCTCCTTCCTCCCTCCTTTCTTCCAAGGGAGTGGCTGGGCGGCCTGAAGGGTGTGTGTTTGTGGCTCCTCGTCTGGGTGGAGGCGCCCGCGTCTTGTGTGTGTGTTTGTGGCCAGCCCAGGGGAAGGGAGAGCACGGCTGACATCACGGGGACGCTGGTGGTGGTGATGGTGGTGGTGGTGAGGGAGCCGAAGGCAGAGTGTGTCATCCCCCCATCGGAAATGGGGTTGTGTCTGGATGGCTTCGGAGTCATCCTCCCCACCTCTGAAGGAGGAGTGATGGCACTCTCCCCCCCACACACCTCCCATGCCATTTCCCCAGCTTGGGGGTACAGAATCTGCCATTCTTTCATCTCAGGAGGAAAACTTTCTTTAAGATCCACCTGTTGAACTTCTGCCCGTCAGGCCACACTTTTCAAAGCCACCACGCCCTTATTTGCTGGATGCGAACAAGATCCTATACTTTGCAGCGTGCTTTTGGTTTCTTAGGTTACCCTGCTGTAGAGGTTTGGAGAGATGTGTCTCAAATTGACTCTGGAGCATGTGTTAAAGATCCAGAGCCCTGTGGGGATGGACCTAGAAACTTCGCCGCCTGAGGCACATTGCCACTCCCCCCTCAGAGGTATGGTGTGTGCAGACAAGTTATTTTGGAAGCCGAGGTGGAAAAACTCACAAATCTCCATTTAGCTGGCAGCAAAATACAATAATAATACTGTACCTTAATACTGGAATTGCTAACTTCGAACCTTTCCATGAATTCCCCAATCTGCTGCTGCCTGAGGTGGCTGGCTTCAGTCTTCCTAATGGTAGAGCCAGCCTTGAGAAGTCCGTGTGGTCTCTTGAATACAGTCTTTCAAAAGTTTAGGCTTCAAGCCTGCCTCCTCAAACCCTTGCCACCAGCTGTTTTAGGATCTGGCTCTGCACATGCTCAAGTGTGCTTTTGTTCCTTGCTATTTTACCTGTCCGTATGGCAGAGTTCTAGTGAAAACAGGCCTCAAGAAGGCACATGTGTATGTTTGGATATATACAGTTGACCTTGCATTGAGAATACAGTATGTTTGCCAGAAGAACATTTAGTGTTCCTGCTCTTTCTATACAGTACTACAGTTCCCAGAATCCCCCAGTCACCCATAGCCGTGTCAGTTGAGGGATTTGGGGAGTTACAACCCAGAAAAGAAACTTTGCCAGGCTGCGACTGATAGCTGCCACTGCCTGTCCTCATCATAATTTATGACTGTATCATGGGTTCATCAACTGCAGACATGGCAGGACCTTTGGCCCGCTTTGCATGTTTTGGACTACAACTCCCAGAGGCCTTGGCCAGCGTAAGTAGGCATTATGGGGGCTGAAGTCCAAAACAGGCAGAAGGCCAAAGACCCACCATCCTGAGTTGGTTGCTGTTAGCCTACCCTTTTCCCAACTGTGGTAACCAGATGCCTCTGCAGCTCCCAGGCAGGGTGTAAAATCATCATTATTTTTTATTTAGCTTGTATACTGCCCTGTGTACTTTCTGGGCGGTTTACGACTCTGAATTAAACACAGTTGTAAACACAATATACTATAGGCATCCCATTTATTACAACCATCATTAGTCCCTTGCCACAAACTTGCTTTTAAATAAAAATAGACAGTTAAACGCATTAGAATCTCCAGGCAATATTAATAAAAAAGCTGCTCTAAAAAGTACACATGAAACAATTTGTGCTGGATTAAAAGACTGTCTAGTCCAGTGGTTCTTAACGTGGGCATTAAAAAGTACACATGAAACAATCTATGCTGGATTAAAAGACTGTCTAGTCCAGCGTCCTGTATCCCCCACAGTGGTGCACCTCTTGTCCACGTTGTGAGAATCACAAAGAGGACATGGGAGCTCTCTGCTGTTTGTTCCACAACTTAGAAGCCTTTGATCCTTGGAAGAGCATACAATTATCATCTCAAGTGCCAGTCATTTTGATAGCAGCAGTGGGGAATCGAACTCCCAACCTCTGGGTCCACAGTCAGATGCTTATCTGTCACTGAGCTCTCCATCCACCCTGAAAGAAGTACAGTACTTTGGCCTAAATCTCCTACCATTCAAGATGCCATGGAATGACCCTGATCCTGCTTATCTGTCACTGAGCTTTCCAGCCACCCTGAAAGAAGTACTTTGGCCTAAATCTCCTACCGTTCAAGATGCCATGGAATGACCCTGATCCTTCTGGTATGAACAGAGGAAAGAGAAATATCTCCTTATTCACTTGCTGTGCATGATGCTTATCTATGCACTCTTCTTGAAGTTTGAAAAAGTCCCCATTTTGTGGACCGCAAGTCCCAGAATTCTCCAGCCAGTATGGAAGCAGCCTCCATTTTGGAGATTAAAGAACCATAGCCCTTGTGGTTTTTAAACTGGTGGCCAGGATGAACTTTCAACTTTTCTTGTTCTTCCCACCCCACCCTCAAGTTTTGCAATGATTAAAAAGCTTGCTTCCTCCTCCTCCTCCTCTACAGTTTGGTGGTGCAATAAAGATATTAGGCAGCTCTGTTTTTTAAATAAACATTTCCCTTTTTAAAACTTCAGTGCCTCCTATTCAGAGGTGGACTGCCTTTTCTGTAAGGAACTCCCACAGAACTCCTGAGACATAACAGGCATTAAGATTTAAACCCCTTAGTAAAGGGAACTTGCGGAGTGCTACGGGAATGAGTTATACTGCACGTGAGGATAGCGGGTTGTGTAGTCATGGTTTGTTGTTACTTGTTGTGATAATTTTGTGCTTTTAAAAGCAGGCGAAATGTCTTGTCTCACTTTGAGGAAAATAATTACGGAGACACAGAAGCGAGAAGCGCTTGTTTTGGGACCTGGATGTTGGAAGGATAACATATCAGGTAAAATCCAAAGGAGGGGGGGGACAAAAAATTTTAAAAGGCAAAAACCTTATGGCCCCTTTGAGCCTAACTATTATATTTTCATGCAAGTTTTCATGGATCAAGTCCACTTCTTCAGATATATGGAATAAAATAAAACACAGAATTCGCAAGTAAAACAGTAGTAATAATAAAATGTAGTAAAAAAAAAATAACATGTAGCAGAAGGACTACATTTTACTCACAGTCCTGCACACCAACTAAGAGCCTCTTCCAAGTCCTTTTGACACCCCCAGAAATATTCATTAGTGAAACCAGAGCTTGGAAGAGTTACTTTCACGGTTTGTCCCAGAATCTCCGACCCAGCATGGCCAGATTGATGGACTTTTTTTTTTTTTTTAAAGAGGGAATTAAAAAGGAATGACTAACATAAAGATTAATGCCAACCATTATTTCTACAATTGTGACAAGTGATAGTCACCAAGCCCTGCTGTGAGATTGCAATGAGTAACGGCAAATATTTCTTTTTGAAAGTTAATTTTCTATTATCAGTTGTCTTCTGATTTTGTTCTTGCTGTTCTCTCTGCCGTGGAAGAAGCACAGGACAGCGTAACTGGGCACAAATGACAGATGTGAATGCCAGACTTAAGCTGAGTAACACATGACTCAGGAGTATGTAATATGCTTGAGTATGATATATATGTTATGATATGTAAGTGGGCAGGTGGAAGGGTGTGGGTGGATAGTGCCCCAGGAAACATTACTGTATGGGACATGCATATCTTTTGAATGGTTCCAATAAATAAAATCAAAAGAGATGCTTATTGCCTTAGCTCTTTGGAGGAAAACACAATAAATTACTTTCTGTACTCCAGTCCTGATGTGGACTAATCTGCTTTTAAAAAGTCACTTCAGCAAGCGGGTGGGGAAAGGGGTAATGCTATAACTCAGCAGCAAAGAAAGAGTCAGAGAGTTTGTTATGTGAGGGTGTGTATGTGTGCAATCCCAGCATCCTTGTACTGGCATAACTGGGAAACAGTGAGTGTATTCAGAGAGTGCTGGAGTATTTATTTATTTATTTAACTTATATGCGTCCCACACTACCCAAAGGTCTCTGGGAGGCTTACAACAATTTAAATGTGATAAAAAGATAAAACAATTAAAAATACAGTACTCTAAAAAAATTGCCATCAGGACCCACGGTTGATATTATTTCAATTAAAAGCCTTCTGGAACAGGAAGGTTTTGACCTGGCGCCAAAACGTCATCAACGTCAGCATCAGACGAATTTCACGAATCTCAGTCGAGAGGGCATTCCAGAGTCTGGGGGCAACTGCCGAAAAGGCCCTTGGCCTACAAGCCATCCCTCTTACCTCCTTGAGGGATGGCTCTTTCAGGAGGGGCCCCTGGATAGATCTTAGTTGCTGGGTAGGTTCATATGTGTTTAGAAAGGGATGTGGTGGCGTTGTGGGTTAAACGTCAGAAGCCTCTGTGCTGCAGGGTCGGAAGACCAGCAGTCGTAAGATCGAATCCACGCAACGGAGTGAGCTCCTGCCGCTTGTCCCAGTTCCTGCCGACCTAGCAGTTTGAAAGCATATAAATGCGAATAGATAAATAGGTACCACCTCAGTGGGAAGGTAACAGCGTTCCGTGTCTAGTCGCGCTGGCCACGTGACCATGGAAACTAGCTCTACCTCTTGGAGGCGGGTATGAGCACCGCCCCCTAGAGTCGGACACGACTGGACTAAATGTCAAGGGGAACCTTTACCTTTACCTAGGTTCATATGGAAGGAGGCAGTCCTTCAGGTATCCAGGGCCCAAGCCGTTTAGGGCTTTATAAGTCAACACAAGTACTTCAGCAACTTTGCACCCTTCAAATGGGATGAGATACAACACCCATCATCCGACCTCCTGCATGGTGGCTGGAGATGATGGACATTGTGTAGAGCTCCAGCTTGCATGAAATGGTGGGCTTGTTAATGGTTAGGCTGTTGGACTGGGATCTGGAGTGCCTGGTTCTAGTTCCTCAACAGCCGTGGCTGAGTAGAAGCCACTTGATTGAATGCCTTTTGCCCGGTCACTCTTTCATAGCTCGGCCTGTGTTGTAGGATTCCTCAGATATTCAATCGTGCCCCACTTAATGATTGCCTCACTTAACGAGGAAATCGCTTTACGATGAGGTTTTTGCGATCGCAATTGCAAGCGCAAAACGATGGTCTAAATGGGGGAATTTCGCTTAGCGATGATCGGTTCCCTGATTTAGGAACAAATTTTCGCTTTACGACGATCAAAAACAGCTGGTTATTGGGTTTCAAAATGGCCGCTGGCTGAAGAAAATGGCTCCCCACTGTGCTTAGGGATGGGTTCCTCGCTGCACAGGCATGGAAACTGGCCACCCCTATGGAGGATCTTCGCTGGACGGTGAGTTTTCAGCCCATTGGAACGCATTAACCAAGTTTTAATGAGTTTCAATGGGCTTTTTTATTTCGTTTGACGATGTTTTTGCTCTACAGCGATTTCGCTGGAACGAATTAACATCGTCAAGCGAGGCACCACTGTAGTGGGAAA